TATTAAATATTAATAATTATATTTTAAAATAAAATTTTATATATTTTACATATATTTGTTAATTGTTAAAATTAAACTATCCCTTCGTAACTTTCAAATGAATTTTTTATGAAACAAAATTATGACATTAGTTAGAATATTAGTTTAAACTAACTTTTATTATAATTAAAAAATTAATAAATTTACTACATAATTGAATTTTATCATAAATAAAAAATTACATTGCATGTTTAATCAATGTATTTGGTAATAATTTTTTCAACTTTAGTTTAAAGTGATGAATATTGCTCAAATTATTTAGTTTATAATATTTTACCTTAGTTCAAAATAATGGTTAGTACTCAATTTGACATTCGAGATGTGAGAAGAATGACTAAATTAAAAATTTAGACTTAAACATTTGAAATTATGAGTTAAATCACATAAATATAAAAGTTATGGGCCATTAATAACACAACGAATCTAATTCTGGGTCAAAAGTTAAAAGTTCATCCTCAAAAGTAGTGAAAAAAAAAAAGTAGGCTAATAGTCAAAACCCGGTTCGACCCGGATTTGACCGTTTTCCGGGTTAATCGAAAACTTGATCGGTTTTGACCGAGTCATAAACAACCGATTTTATGCCTTACTCGGCTCGGCCTGGGGTCCGGTTCCCAGTTAAACCGGTTCGACCGGCCGATTCGAACCGAGTTTAACAACACTGATTTCGCCCCATCATCCATCATTTTGAAATGTGTTTACGTAAGTTCAACTCCCAAATTAAATTAGGTACTAGACTAGTAGTACAAGTAGTCTAATACTCTAATAGTAGTAGTTGAACATTAACCAGTGTTGTGGCTCGGACTGGCCGGTCAAATCGGTTTAACCGGGAACCGGATCCCAATCCGAGCCGAGCAGGTCATAAATTCGGGTTTGCAAGATGAGGTTTCAACTCCATTTAAACTGAAAATCGGTCAAAACATGGTCGACTCGGATTTTTGACTTTTGGGCTGGTTTTTAATTTTTTAACATTTTTTCTGCACTACTTTTGAGATATAATTATTTTGATTTTTTACTTTTAGTCCTCAACTAGATTTTCTATTTATAAATGACCCATTACTTTATATTTATGTGATTAAACTCTACTTTTGAGATGTATTTGATATAATTTTTAACTATTAGCCCTCAATTAAATTCTCTAATTCTTAAATGACCCATAACTTTAATATTTTTATATTAAACTCTTAATTCCAAATGTGTAAGTCTAAAATTTTAATTTAAACTATTCATCCAACATCACATGTGTAATTTCACATTAACCATTATTTTGAACTAAATAAAAAAATTATAACCAAATAAATTAATAAGTCATACATTGTAATTTTCTTATAATGATAAAAGTCACTTGTGTATAGTAAATTAATTAATTTTTAATTATAATAGAAGTTAATTTAAACTAAGACTTCAATTAATGTCATAATTTTGTTCCACCATAACTTATTTCATAGTTATAAAACACTAATTTGACTTTAACAACTAAGAATATATATGTAATTTAAAAAATTTTATAAAAAATATAATTATTAATTTATTACGTCATTATAACATCATCCGAGTCGACTCTCAATTCACTCCGAGTCGACCCCCCGAATCGATCGACCCCTGGACAATGCCGACTCAAGCTCCAAGCCTGACAACACTGGCATTAACCTATTTTCCTCCGTAACGAATTTGTTCAAAAGAATGAAAAATAACAGCTGGGAAGATCAATTAATGCTCGCTCGTTCTTCAAGTGAAACTGACGATAAAAAAAAAAAAAAACTATCCATTCTCCAAAAGAGCACTAATCACAGTTGGCAAAGTAAATTTTGCTATGTTAATTATGCTTGTTTGCCCGGGGAGAGATGCATGAGCACGAATAATAATAGTTTACCCTCATTTTTGAAAAACCGTAGGACAAAACTTAGGCTTTAACCACTACAAAAAAAAAAAAAAAAGTAGTTTAGACACTTTTTTGTGTCTCAATAAGTGGTATAATATGACACATTGGACTCAAATTGCGTGGGACACTACTAAAAAATGTCTCCTATAATCGAGTCACAATAAGTCATAAAACATTTGAAAGTGTATTATTAGATTGTTACTCATTAACACACGTTAAAGTGACTCATTAAGTAAGGTAATAGTTTACAAGCAAGCCCAAATAGTACACTTACGATAGTGTTTCATAATATGAATACACTTTTTCATTTTTAATAATCCTAATACACATATAATAAGACACATTTTAGAAAAAGTGTCCTATCATAAAAGTATTAATAGCCCATTTTTGTTGTAGTGTTTGTTGGACCCATCTTTCCCTATATTTTTTTATCCTTCGTTTCACAACAATATTTATTTTATATTCCCAAATAGATATTTCGATATTAAATATAACTTTTGACCAGTCCATTTATAAATGATACAGTTCACAACGCGCACACATATATATAACAAGAAGAACGATTTAATAAAACTTGTCATCCCAAAATGGCTTCATCTTCAACATCTTCTGATGCGTCGGACGTGACACTGAAGCTAGTAATTGACCCCAAAAAACAGAGGGTAATTTATGCCCTAGATTTTCTGCTTTGGATTTTCCTCCATCCGGTGGCATGCATCTGGAGCGTTGTGAACGATCCAAATACTAGCACAGTCGGTGCCTTAACCAACTTCTACGTCCGACTGGAGAAACTTTATGGTCCATTCTTTGCGCCGGTTCGACGGGTAAGCAGGGCCGTCACCATCGACCGGGGAGACAACAACTCTGCATCTATGGCAAATTATTTTTACTTTCAATTTTTATTTTCCCTTTTTTTCACCTATGTTGATGAAGAAATTATTCGTCGCCTGTTTGCGTGATGTAGGTTATGGAGTTGGCTGAATTAACTATGACGTCACCAAGCACACCAATTTTCTTACTTTGGTTAATCATGCTAGTAGTAAAAATGCAAATGTTATCTGTATGGATATTACTATGTCTGTTATTATCTCATTTTGTCGCCTCTTCAGGATAATGGAACTATGGAACTACAAATGGTCCATAATGTTTATTTGGTTGATTGAATTACTATCAGTTACCTTTCTGATGTAGGGCTGTTGTTTTCTTTTTCTATTTCATCTTTTTTTACACGATTACATCGGTACACTCATCTTGAATTTTGATAACACCCAAACAGAAAATGACCAACTTAATCACACTACTCATACTAGTTCCCCAAGTCAAAAAGGGTTTCATATAGATTGCGTTCCTACATATAAATGATAAATATGTAGAGTAAATTGTCATATTGGTCGCTAAACTCTATTATATCTTTTTAATTAGAATTTATATTATAGAATTTATTATATTAATATATTTTTGTACGATATCACTATCCAATGAATGTTTCCATCAGTACACGAATAAGTTTTCTTCTGTTACTCTCCTTTCTTTCTAGGAGAAAACAAAATTCACGGGTTATTGAATTGATGAATTAATTCTTATTTAGAAATGTTATTCATATGAACACCAAATGGAACTTTTAATAAAAATTATTCATTTTAAAGTTAGTGATAACGGAGTTGAAGAATTTTAACTTTTAACACTTTTAAAATCATATCTAAACCATGAACTGAAAGCCGAAAATAAATCGGTATCGATATAGGATCAAATTTTTGACGATTTTTTTAGTAAAGAAGTTGATTTCATTACCGTATGTGAGAGTTTGGTACATCACAATTATGTCTGCTCGAAATGACACATATTATGCATGTAAAAAAAAAAAGAAACCTTTTATAGCTCACATCACCATCCACATTTACAAAATCAATTTTCCCTTCGTAACCACCATTTTAGGTTCACTGCGTTACAACGTCAGTTATAACGTGTTTTCTAGGCAGAGTCATATTCTCGTTGTTTGCTATGATCCGCGTGGAAACAAACATAAGTGACAATAATGATAAGAGAAAAAAGTGGGTTGAATATTTTGATTATTTTTCAAAACATTAATAATATTATTTACATAAAAAAATACAAACACCAGACCATTGTTTCACATCAATATAACTTTTACATTCTTAACAACATAAACTAATAAAACCTTTCATAATAACCTTATTGATGAGTCACATAACATTGTTGGGAGCTCTTTTGTCCACAATGTAGTAGTGCAATATTTTGATTGTTTGCCTCTTGGGCTCCTACTATCTAACGAATCAGAAAGGTCAACATGAATTCAATCGATAAGCCAAAGAATTAATTTCATGGGGAATGACCAAAATAAAATTTTCTGTGCTGTAAGCAACCATACCACTTCAATGTGATAAAATACTTCTCAGCCATTTTGTTGCATATTTTTCCTTCACAAGATAATAATCCCTCTTCCTAGAAAAACAAATTGAGTTGTAAAAATAAAACAATGCTAACCGTAAATTATTTTCCGGAAGAAAGGGAGAGACTACTACTTTAGTAAGAGAAGGCTTAATGCCCCAAAGTAAAATTCAGGATCCAAAATCATACAGATAATTTCGAATCATAACCATATTCTTGGCTAAAATGAGGTGTTCATGGCCGATTACAAATAAGCTCGAGTTTGGAACAACATATTGTTAACTGTTTACCCATTTTTCAATTTGTTATAACTATGATTATCGTTAAAAAACAAATTGCTGCAAATACAAAAAAATATCTCCAAATGGAATTTAATTCACCAGAGACCAGAGCAATATGTTGAAGTGACAGCAGAATAGGATAAATTTTAGAATTTTTTTACTTTTTTTGCCTAGGTTTTTGCAACCAAATAAGACAATACATTTTCCGTTCAAAAGGGCGATGATAACATCAGCAATTCAGCATGCCAAGAAGCTGTGGTAAGAAAATCCAATTCAACCATCCATATTTCTGAAATTAGAACAGCAAAAAAATACCAATTCATCACTTTATTTAGATTTCATGCAAAGAAATTAGAACAGCAGCAGAAGTAGCAGTGTCTGTCTTTCACTGGCTATGTGATGAAGACGTGCAAGAATACTGCGTTGAGAACGTTGTTGGTCTCCTTGGAAGTTGCCATCAACTGACCAAGCTGTCACAAAAAATACAGAAATACTAAGAAAAATTAGGGTTTTTTTCTGGTAGCAATAGAAATGTTACGTTTACATTTCTACATGAAAAAATTCAACGGTACTTGAGAACAAAAACTAGGTGTAAATAATTCAGTTCTACGTCTAAGCCAAACCAAACAGTCATTTGAATCGGTTTGCAAAAATGAGATCATGTCAGACTCCGATGAAAACAATTTATTCTTTTTCTTTTTCAAGAATCATTGATTAGCTCTTCATAATGTTGAAAATAACGGGGAAACAAAAAAAAAAAAAAAAAGAATTTACCTCGTCGTCTCCTATATCGACGATTCTCTCTTCAAGGCCATCAGATTCGGTCAAATTCAACTTCTTGAGCAGATCAAGAGCAGAAACTGTAGAGGAAGGCATCACTTTCAAATCATCCAAAACCATAAAAGATGACACACCTTCCATTGCCGGTGGAGGAGATGGAACGTACTTGGCCGAAATTCTCATGGGTCGCCCGCAATCAGGACAAACAACACCAAATTCATTGCAGAAATTCCGGGCACACCCATTTTCACCGCACTGGTAGAAGGCTTTCGACTCACCGTAAAGTTTGCCGCCGGGAAGGCCGGCGATAGGGACTGAGAGATCAATAGTTGATCCATCTTCAAACGAGAATGGTACCGTAAAACTACCGATTGTTCGGACAGGTCCAATGCATGGGCCGAAAAGATTCATCATGCTACAAAAGAAGCTTCCGAGGTTCCCATAACCGTTTGGAACGGTGACACTACTATACATGAGAGAAACCGGCGCTACGAGAACCATAAATAGAGCTTCCAAATCATCTTTGTCAACTTGGGCGTAAATAACTCGATGGTTTTTGGTGTCAATGAACAGCTTCAATCTTGCATAGATCGGTTTCGATGCATCTGAAGGGTTTTTGTTTTGGTTCTCTTTCGATTGTGTTTGCTTTTCCTTTTCCTTTTCCATGACCGTGACTTTAAGGAAGTACTGATGGAGTATGTAATTAAGAAATCGAATTAGGGTTTTCGGAATAGTCGACAAGGGTTTTTATGTATCCTTCTATATATATATCTCATTGTACAACCGGTAATACACACAGAAACATACTTCTTTTATGGTATCATCCTTTTTTTCTGGCATCTCAATTTTTTTAGGTCTGCTACTGCTCCTTCTTTCTCGTTTTCCTTTCAAAAACAAAAAAAATAAAAAATAAAAAATTTACGACTCTTCCCGGCGGCTGCTCCCTCTTCCTCTCTGCCGTTCTTCACAAAACTTTTACTCCAACCGTTTTATTTTTCCTTCTAATTCGTCAGCATTGTACTTCGTCGCTGCTGTTTTTTTTTTCAGGCCGTCACCTGCTACTTCTCCTCTCCTAGCGTAGCTTTCTGCTTCTCCCATCGGTTAGCATAGCCTTCTGCCTTTTTTGCTTCAGTCGTGTGTTTCTTTATTCTCTCGTTTTTGTTGCAGCTTTGTAGCTTCATAGGCTTCTTAGGTTTCTGTTGCAGCTTTTCTAATCTGTAGTTTTAGTCGTGTGTTCCTTTCCTCAGTCAGCAAATCAGCAGATCAAACATTAAGTTTTCTGGTCGTAGTCTTCTGCCCGGTTCTTGTGCTTTCTTTTATCTGTTTCCATGGCTCACTCTACTGACTCCACCGTCAACACTCTGACTCCGACTGAAACTCCCTCAGCTACCTCTTCTCCTTCCAGCATCCCTTCTTCCATGTCTCATCTGGCCATTGGCCTATCCAATATCAAAAATTATATCACTTCCATCCTAGATTTCACCAATTATATGCTTTGGAAGGAACTCTTTCTTTCGGTTTTTCGCGGCGATGGTGTTATGGATCATATCGATGATACCTCTCTCTGTCCTCCGTCGACTATTCTCGCTGCGGATGGTTCTTCCGCTTCTGTCCCAAACCCTGGTTTTCAAACATGAACTCAAATTGATTCTATTGTTCTCTCCTGAATTCAAGCCATAGTTTCAACCGAAATCTTTTAAGCTATAGCCAAACCTAATTCCAAGCTCACTGCTCGTGATGCATGGTTCACTATTGAAAAGCTATTCCACGATGAACTTGGCTCTCGTCTTCGATTTAACCATTAATGACTATGTCACTAAACTCAAATCCTTTGCTGATTCCTTAACCGCGGTTGGTTGTCAAATTACGGATAATGACTTGGTCCTTCAAATTCCTGCTAGCCTTCCTTCGGATTATTAATTTATCTCGACCACGATCAGTCATAAAGTATTGTTGCCTACTTTTGTCGAAGCTCGCTCCATGCTTTTTTTTGCATGAAGTGCAACTTCAAAACAACGCCCCTGCGTCTCTTCCCGCGGCGACTCTGGTGTTAGTTGCGGCTTCTTCTACAGAGTCTCTTCCAAATTCCTCTTCAGCCATCTCTCCGCCTTTCACAAACAATCATGGTCGGGATTGCAGCAGGTTCCAAAATTTTTGGGGGTGCTGTGGTCGCGGACATGGCCAAAATCAATCTGGTCAGTATAATCCCTCTTTTTTATCCCGCTTACTCTAATTATCAACCTCCTATGTTTTCTTCTAGAAACCGTGCTCCTTCGCTTCTTGGTCCTGTTTCCTCTTTTCAGCCGGGTCAACTTGTTATTCGCTGTCAGTTATACAATCAGGCAAATCACTCTGCTCCAGATGAATTCTGGGTTAAAGTTTTAACCACCAGTGTCTACCTCTTAAATTGGTTGCCTACAAAATCTAATACCGGTGTTGTCCCTTTCTCTCTTCTGTTTGGTCATTCACCTAATTATGGGGTACTTAGGGTTTTTGGTTGCTCTTGCTTTCCAAATTTCTCTTATTTAGCATCTCATAAACTTAGTCCTTGCTCAGTTCCTCGTGTATTTCTTGGTTGTCCTGAATCATATAAGGGTTATCGTTGCTTTGATCCAATCTCTCAAAAAGTCTACATTCCCGTCATGTCACTTTTGATGAAACTTCGTTCCCTTTTTCTACACTATCCTCTTCGGTTCAGCCCCTTCCTACTTCGGCCCCCTCATTTAAACATCCTTCCGTTCTCATTCCCGAATGCCTTCGAACTCCGATTATCTCTCTCCAAGCAAACCTCCTGTTTCAGATTCTTCTATCTCTGCCACTTAATTTTCCGCTCCTATTCAAGCTTCAGCTCCTATATCCTCCGTTGCTCCCTCACATCCTATGGTTACCCGCAGCACACGAAAATCCAAATATATTTTTTCTCTCATTGCCCCTACCAATTCTCCTTCCCTTCCCATAGAACCAAAATCTCTCACTGAAGTAAATAAATACCCTAAATAGCGTACCGCTATGAGTGATAAATACAATGCCCTTCTTTCTAATCATACATTGGATTTAGTCCCACTACCCGTTTCTGCTAATGTAATTGGTTTCAATAAAGCACGTTTGGTCTCTCAGGGTTACAATAAAAAACATGGGCTTGATTATGATCAAACGTTCAGTCATGTGCTTAAACCAATGACAATTCGGACTGTCTTAAGTATTGCTGCATCTCGTAAGTGACCCGTCCATTAGTTGGATGTTAAAAACGCATTTTTGCATGGTTATTTAAATGAAATTATCTACATGAAACAGCCTACTGGCTTTGTTCATCCAAACCATCTTCACTATGTCTGTCGCCTGAACAAAGCTATTTATGGCTTAAAACAGGCCCCTCGGGCTTAGTTTGCTTTACTACTTTCACCAGTCTTATTTAGTCTCTGACGGGTGCTTTTGATGACTGATCTTGGCCCTATAAATTACTTCTTGGGTGTATCGGTTTTTCCCCAGTCAAATGGTTGGTTTTTGCATCAACGCAAATACGCTGAAGAACTACTTTCTCGCAGTCATCACACTGAAGCTAATCTTGTTGCCACTCCACTTGCTCCAGCTTTTCAATTCTCTGTTGGTGAGTCACTACCGTTTCATAATCCGACTCTCTACCGAAGTTTGGTGGGTGCCCTCTAATACCTGACTTTCACTAGATTGAACGCTCAGGATGCTGTCAATCTTATCTGCCAACATATGCATGATCCTCGGGAACAACATTATCAGGCTGTTAAGTGCATTCTACGGTATATTAAAGGTACCCTTCACTATGGTATTCATATCCGTGCTGGTCCTCTTGATCGTCTTGTGGCTTATTCGGATGCTGATTGGGCTGGGTATCCGACACCAGACGTTCCACCACTGGGTTTTGTGTCTTTTTAGGTTCATCCTTGGTCTCTTGGTCTTCCAAAAAACAGTCTAATGTTTCACGTTCTTCTGCTAAATCTGAGTACCGCGCCGTTACTACTACCTTAGCTGAAGTTGTTTGGTTAGAAAATCTTTTATCTGAGTTTCATAGTTCACATCAAGCTTTCCAGATCTTCAATTATTTTCTGTGATAATAATATCTCTGCTACCTGCCTTACTACTAATCCTGTTAATTATGCTAAAAGAATGCACATTGGGCCAGATATCTATCTTGTTCATGAAACAGTTGCTGCTGGTCTTGTTGTTCGTCATATCCGAACACAATCTCAACTTGCAGATGTCTTTACCAAGTCATTAGCTAAATATAAATTCTCTTTGTTTAGAACCAATCTAGGCATGATTCTTCATCCTGCTACGATTGCGGGGGGATGATAGAATATGTAATTCTGGAAACCGAATTAGGTTTTTCGGAATAATCGGCTAGGATTTTATGGATCCTTATATATATATATATCATTGTACAACCGGTAATACACACAGAAACATACTTCTTTCAAGTACTAATGGGGGAAATAGGAAGAGCGGGTGAAACAGTGAAAGTGTGGAAGTATATATTGTTTGTAGTATATGTTAAACTATTGGCATTTTCATCCCTGTTTATGTGAAAATTGTGTGATTCTCAAATTCATCCCCAACGTTGAATAATTTTTTTATAAGTACTATTTCACTGGAAATTTGCCCAATTTAATAGTGTAGATTGCTCTATTCCGGCCTTGAATTCATCAACTTATTCACCAAGTACCATTTCATTTCCTTTGATTGTACGACGAAGAACGTCAATTTATTGCATAATAGTAAATTTTTTGGTATCTACAAATGTAAAAATTTCATATTCTCGACGAGAAAATCTAAATGTTTTCTAAATTAATACGGTAAAAAATGTTTTCTAAATTAATATACTTTTCAGTCTTAGTCTCAACGTTTGAGCAAATATTTGAATCGAGTCCGTACTATTGCTAGGTTCAGTAGATTAGACTTAGAAGTCCCATTGTCAAATGCAATAAAGGATTCAAATATTCCTACAATAAATGTATGTTGTGAAAAGTTGAGGATCGATAATTTCAATGCATTTTTGGATTACCACCCAACAAATTTTGCAAAAGTAGTACCTTTCTTCTGGAAAATTGCTTATTGTAAATATTGTTTAAACAACTCAATTTATTTTTCTATAGGAAGAGGGATTTATTATCTTGTGAAGGAAAAATACGCAACAAAATGGCTTGAGATTGATTTGTTCCCACTGAATATGCCCATTCTATAGACAGGTCCATCTCGGAGACTGCAAAACTTTTCGTATGGCAGCTTATTACCGAGAATGTTGATGGTGAATGGGCAACAACAGCACAGAAAATTCATTTTGGTCATTCCCCAGGAAAATTACTGCTGTTGCTGACCGACTGAATTCGCGTTGACCGTTAGTGGGAGCCTAAGAGGCAAACAATCAAAATATTGCACTATTACATTGTGGACAAAAGATACTCCCAACAATGTTATTTGACTCAACAATACTTTTGAGGCTCTGTTTGGTTGGATTGAATTGGATCCAAGAATTGGAATTGGAGACTTCCAATTCTAATTCCTCGTGTTTGGCTGATAAAAATAGAACTTGTAGAATTAGAATTATAATTTAAGATAAGGTTCAATTCTTTATTTTCAATTCTTTTGTGGGAGCAAATAATTACAATTCTAATATCATGGTCTCTTTTGTTAAA